GTTAGAACTGAAGTTGTTATAGTTTCAGCTGTTGTTGTTGTGGGAGCCATTGTGCTTGTGATTGGAGTTGAAGTTACTGCTTCTGTTGTGGTTGGGACAGTTGTTGGAACTGTTGTGGTTGTGAATGGAGTTGTGGTTGTAACTGGAGGTGGTGTTGTTTGAGCTGTTGTAGTTATTGGAGTGGTTGTATTTGGAAGTGTTATTGGAATTGTAGTTGTAGCTATTGTTGATGTAGTGGGAGAATCTGTGACCATAAAGGATTTGGAGAAGAAGAATTAGAAAAGTAAGATCAGAAAATAATTAGGAGTTTGTGATGGAATAAAAGTATATAATTGTTTCTATAAATATTCTGCTCTACCAGAAGAAACCTCAAGTGATTTAAAACCTAAACAACTTATACACCCACCATTCCGAACTTCACACAGCCTACATGCATTTGATAGTTATTACCTCACACTCTATGCATTTATTTTGTTAATTGAGAATAATTACTTAGAGTATATCAATGAGAGTTACACTTTTATTTTCATTGTACTATCAGTTTATTTCAAACTATTATGTTAAGTAATATGACCCAAGTGAAAGCAATAATTTGAGGCACATGATTATTAGCACGAGACGAGACTTGGCACAGGCACAGTTCTGGTGGAAGAGTAATAAAACAGAGCCAAACAACTACTTATTAGCAGTAAAATAACACAACAAATACCGTTAAACAAAAGCACATACTGCATATATAAATCAATATGTTCTAGATTCTATCCCTTTAATCTAAAAATATTGTGCACCTCCTTAATAGGCAAAAAACAGAACAACTTTGCATCTTAATAAAAGAAGTTAACTCAGAGCTAAACCTCCATTCCTACAACATTGATGCCTAAGTGTGAAAGGGAATCAGTTATTCTATTCTAAAAATGGTTTGCCAAATTTGAAGTGTTTGGCTTTTTGAGTAAGGCCTTATGTAATGCAATCAAGATGTGAACTGCAAACAACACTCCCCATGGCTCATAACATAATCCATAACCATTTCAACTGGTTTGATGTCATGCGCGTCCAGTATATCAGTTTCAAGCTGTGTTGTTTATTTTAATAAAATACAGACTTACAATGCGTGTATCTTATGTGTTGAATAAAAACTCAGACAGGCCTTCGTTGGAGTATTGAATAATATTGAAAAAGGAATACTCCTCCCATTTAAACAATATTTTAAAAGATTCAAGGTTTTGCATGGGCAAAATACTTCCAAACCTTCATATTTACACCACAACTTTACTTTAAGGCATTTCACAACATTTTAATGTGCTCCCAGGTTTCCATTTGAAGCTTAACATTTCTGTGTTTTACATACAGTATGACTAACACTTCTTTGCATACATTTTTCCATTCTTTACTGCACTCTCATTGTTTTCGAAGGATTCTTTGTAACATTAATACTTTTGATGTGCCAATTTGTAATGTACAGATAATAAATTGAATTTAATATAAATTAAAGAATTTAGGAAGTGAAGCAGAAAACCCTCTTCACCAAAAAAGCAACCCCAAATGTTTAACATTTTTTGTAAAATGATTAGAAAGAATTGTAAAAATTATCTAGAACTGAAGTAAAAGCTAGAGTCTATAGTGGTATCATAAATCGGATTAACCCTTGTCCCGTCAGGGGCTAGGAACAGCTCTTCCCGAAATCTAAAAATGTATATGGAATAGCACAAAGATTACTAATGCTGAAAGTGCAACCCACGCCATTGTTGCTTCTTTTACAAAAGTAAAAATACCTTTGAAAGCCAAGATAAATGCATCATTTCAACTGAATAAAAGGAAACTTTTTTTCAAAAGGTCCTTCCCTGTATTGTATTTCTTCTTCAGTTACTGTATGCATTGTTTTTTTCCTGTAACTGTAAGAAGGCGAGGTTCCGAAACTCAAAGGCTTGTAAATACTGCACGTGTACGAAATAGCTGTAGACATTTGTTTCAGTTGAAACGGACTTACGGATTTAGCACGCAGCTGCATACAAACTTTCAGAATACTTAACACGGCCCTGTCTTTGAGCTGAATTGCAACGCAAAACAAGCGGAATCAAGTGGGAGACCAGTTTAATTTGTGTTTGGTGAAGTGCTGAGGGCTCAGGATTGTTCTGATTAACACAGACAGCAGAGGGCTCTGAATCAAAGCATTTTCATTAATCTGAGCAGTAAATGAGCATGCCACATTAATTACCACGGTCTTATGTCTATCTAACTGAATGTCCCTGGCAAATTATTATTAGTTTTTAATTTAAGGGCTGATTTTATGCCAAAATATACCAGATGAGTGTACGTCACTACTAATACAGTACTCAATTGCAATTAGTCGCGAAACAAACAAGTACAGCAGCTTTGGGTTTGAATTTGAATATGTATCTTATTTGAGCAGCGTTTAGTTCCATTGATTAATTATATAGATTAATACAGAGATACTTCAGACGAATAAGCGAACGCCTCGTTCACCTCCTCGCCGCTGCCGCCTCAGGTCGGCCCCCCGCCGCTGTGGACTCGAACCCGGGCCTCTGGCTTCACTCAACACCGACCTAAAGGGAAAACTCCCCTCAGACCGACGGATGCGGTCCCTGCTATTCACAGGAAAAGGCTCGAACAACCTGCATGTCGGCCGTATTAATTTTCCTTTAATGTATCCATATATTTGCTATACAACTTAATCGCTATACCGCGATTTCTTCAATATCCCTGAGAAAAGCGAGTTCCATCACAATTAAAAAAACTACAACAAATCTATTCAATTTACAACCAGATGTGACAAATCACATTTAAGTCTTACTGTGCACCTCATTTAAATACCTATTTCCTTAATTTCATTTCTCTTCGCTCCTCATGATATCTGAAAATTCATCATCTCACAGAAAAGGCTCTGTATATACATGTAATACAGCTACTAATATAGACATTAAACTTCATTATTAATAAATGCTACAATTAGTAAGCACACGTGTAAATAAACTTAATTATTGAATGAATTATTTTAAAGCTGTTTTAGTTAAATATTATAATATTTTAATTTAATAAATTTTGATGCATAATTTCGTTAGTAATGATACTATTTCTACGATATTTCTTTGAACATTCTAATGTGATCCATTTTTCTGCTTAGTAGGCTACTAAATTGCTTGATCCATATGAAGAGTTGTTTTAAATTAATTACCTACATCAGTAACATCTAGAGGTAAGCAGCTGTTCCTTAGGTCTGTTGCAATTGAGAAGAGGTTTATTGCGTTGCAGCGGACTAATTTTGGACTACAGTAGCTCGGAGCTGCGTGCTAACCACGGGTTGAACTCTAGTTAGTGCACTGCTTTCTGTTCGTAGCAATTAACCCATTGTGTCTTGATGTTGTAAATACATTTTCGTCTATTTAGGTTTGCTGCTTGTGCCCGAGAAAAAAAAAAGAAAATATATTCCTACTATCCTAAGTATTATGTTTTGGATTACTCAGAAAATAGGGGGTATATAAGTGATTTTTTTTATTATGTTTTGTACTTGCAATGTAAATTGGTGTAAAGATCTCTGTTTTTTCAATTATTCGCTACTCTTATACAATACTTCAGTATACATAAAAAAGGAATGCACGTATTTTATGTTGTACACATCATTTAAACGTTCATAAATTATTATTTAGTTTTATTTAGTTCATGTTTAAATTATCCCTGATCTTCAAAAAATGGCATCGACACTAACTTCCATGCAAAGTAGGTTGAAAGTTTCTAAATACTACTAAATACTTAGTTTTGATTTATATATTTTCTAACTTAAATAAAAGTAAAGCTCATATCTTACATTCATCTGTTTTGCTGAAAATAAATATACTAAAATTAGTTTTTTACTAAAATATTTTGCTTGTCCTCTGGAAATAAGGATAATCAGTAATGGCTTTACTACAGTTTTTAAGTTGTCATTGAGCTCTAGAAACAAGAATGTAGTCAACAATTGTATGTACATTTCTCCATAATAAACTGTACTCATCTTGGTTGAATGGTGAAACTAATCTATACAAATCTCAAGGTTGTACTCTACCTGTTGTTGTTTGTCCAACAGCCAAATGGAGATTAATGAAAATAAATAAAATAAAATAAAGCATTGCTTTGGTTTTGCTAGACATTGTCACTTCAGAAAGACTGCTGTAACAATGCTCATCTTGCCACTTCAGGAAGTATACAGCACTGATATCTGATATGTTTGAAGAGGCAGGAATTTCTTGTTTGAAGCTTCCAAACGGTGATTTGTTTTTTCTCAAAAGGCATGTCACATATGACTTCAGGTATTTCAAATATGGTTCATGCATTTTTTTAACACGGAGGGTGTGCACCTGAGAAACATGAAAACCTTATGAACATGCTTTTGCTCCATTGAAAGGAATTGCTTGAAAAAGTTAATAGTGTATCTGCAGCCCTGTTAATTTTAGTAGTTCATTAGCAGTATAATTAAAACACCCACGTGATAAGTGAAAGCTTCTGGGGTTATGAAACTATGAATATTTTGAATATCGTAGCGCGCACACCGGATGCTTTAGCGGCTACCAGACAGTCTGGGATCAATTGCCAAGGGCAGACAGAGATGGCCCCCATCTCAGGGCCTCGGCGCAGGAGGGGTTGCGATAGCATGTGCACTGGGCTGCACCGGTTGCCCTCGGACAGACCCTGGCCCTAGTCATGTGGGCTGAGGTTGTGTTCGGGGGAGCCGGCAGCTCCGGCAGGAAGAGTGCTCCGCGCCGGGCAGTGGAGAGTGCATCCGAAAACTCCAGCGAGAAGGAAGAGACCACCTGCGTGGCTGCGGTGGCGGGGAGGCGGCGGAGATACGCCTGCCCCGTTCATGCCACTGAGGGACGGATCGGCCACAGCTGGAGCCTGTACCTCCCCTGCCGGATTGAGAACAAGCCTTGCCTGGCCTTGATTGATACCAAGGTCCCCGTTCCCCTGGACCAAGCTTACCATCGGGGACCTGCTGCGGCGCAGCTGCGCTGGTCTCACCCGGGACCAGCAGTAGTAGTTATAAGCGCTTATCGCCGAGAACGAGGATCTGTTCGCAGCAAGAGACAAGGACAGCTTGCGGATGACCCTCGTTCAGCACGCCATCGATACCGGCGACGCTCGGGCCATTTGGATTCTGTCCCGGTGCATGGCCCACGCAAAGCGCGCTGCAGCCGAGGAGCTGAGAGGTAGTGGCGATGGGGCTGATAGAACCGTCCAGCAGCCCGTTGTCAGCCCTGGCTGTCCCGGCCCGTAAGAAGGACAGAACGTGGAAATTTTCACGCCAGGCTGAAGCTCAACCCCAAGAAGCTGCTGAGGCGGGAGGTGGCCTACCTGGGCCACGTTATCGGGCCAAACGGGGTTGCCACAGACCCAGGTAAGGTTGCGGTGGTTAGAGACTGGCCGGTGCCCTAGAACGTAGCAGAGCTCTGCAGTTTCCTCAGCCTCATGTCCTATTACCAGAGGTTCATCAGGGATGGTAGTGTAGGGAGATGGGCCAGCGTTTCGAGTAGGACTCGAACTGTGATGGGGCTTTCCGCCAACTCCGCAAGGCACTCATGCAGGCTCCTGACCTGGCCTACCAGGACCCGGCGCTGCCTTATGTCCTTGACACCGATGCTGGTGACTCTGGGGTGGGTGCAGTGTTAGTGCAGGAGGGGCCGGATGGTGAGAAGGTCGTGGCCTATTTCAGCCAGGCACTGAGCCGAGTTGAGTGGAGTTATTGTGTGACCCAGTGGGAGCTGCTGGTGGTGGTGCTCACTATCCGGAATTTCTGGGCCTAACCCTATGGGACCAGGTTCAGGATCCAGATAGATCACGCATCCCTGTCTTGACTTCTCAGCTTTAAGGAGCTGGAGGACCAGATGGTAAGGTGGTTGGAGATCCTACAAGAGTACGATTTCACCGTCGAGCACCAGGACAGGACACACTGCCGAAATGCTGACGCACTATTGTGGTGAACCTGCGAGGTGGTGGACTGTCGGTACTGGTCTCAGCAGGAACAGTGAGAGGAGGCGAACCTCGCCGGGATGGAGGTGAGTGCTGTGGCAATGACCCTTGAGGGGTCACTGGGTGTGGATCTCGCAGACTTGGCATGGCAGCAGGGGGCCGACCCCGACATCAGGCCAGTACTTCGTTGGAAGGCGGCAGGGACACGGCCCACGCGGGAGGACCTCGCCCCTCACCTCAAGGCCGTCAAGGCCCTCTGCTCCTTGTGGCAGACTTTGGAGGTCAGGGACTTGTTGTTGCACTGGGGTTGGTGGGTACCCTCCAGCAGTGAAGTCTGGTGGCAGTTGGTCGTGCTGCTGCCGCTCCGCGAGGCTGTGCATGGGTAGCTGGGAGTGGGGCACTTCGGCTCAGCCAAGACTCTGCGGTGACTCCGGGGCCATTGCCACTGGGACCTGGAATGGTACTGTACAGTAGGACCTGCGTGGTGTGCCTGGCAGAGAAGGGCCTACCAGAGCATTCCCAGGCTCCCCTACAGCAACACCAGGTGGGGGCCCCCATGGAGCGAGTGGGGAAGACATCATGGGCCCTTTCCCATGCACCAATGCCAGAAACTGCCACATCCTGGTGGCCATGGACTATTTCATGAAGTGGTCAGAGGCCTATACCTTGCCGGACGAAAGCACCTCCACTGTGGTTGATGCCCTCCTAGGATTTGTGTCAGGCTGGGTGTCCCTGAGGAGCTGCACAGCGAACAGGGCTGCAACTTAGAGTCCCAGGTTTTCGTTAAAAAGATGCAGACCCAGAGGGATTGATTGGTTGAGTGATTCAACCAAACAATGGCCACCTGGTCTCCCGGCACCAACGTGACTAGGACTGTCACCTTCCCCTAGTGCTCTGGGCCTACCGGACTATTGTCCAGGAGTCCTCTGGGTGCACCCCGGTGTCCCTGATGCTGGGGAGGGAGATCCACACTACAATAGACCTGGCCTTCGGGTCACCGCCCGGGGATGACCCTGCGCCACCAGCCAGCTTGGACTATGCCTTGGACCTGCAGCAGATGTACAGCTTTACACCGGCGGGGATCTGGCAAAAGCGGCACTATGACATGATTTGCAGAGGTCCCACCTTCAAGCCCGGAGACCTAGTCTAATTAGATACTGCACTCTGGTAGTCCAAGCCACTTCCTGTCTCCCCTCCTGTAGCCTTTGGTACATGCATCGTGCTAGCATTGGCATTTTAAGTGGTCTATTTTTGTGATAACGGTACTGTGATAATCATTCTGGTTAGACTAGACTAGGGATATCTGATTTAAACCTTACTCAGTGAGCTCCGATTAAGAAATGAAAACAAACGGGTTTTTAAACTAGGAGCAATTAACAATGGTTTGGGCATTAAACAAGAGGACAATGACATGTTCAAATACTTGGGGAATAAAGGTATTCAATTTGTGCTCTCTTGTTCAATTGAGATGGAATATTTAGATCTCACATATGAAAAGAGGCTACTATGACATGCAGGAAATGTGCATATTCAGACCAAAACAGATACAGAACAATATGTTCAAAACAGAACATAAATGTGTTGTCTATTTATTCAACAGGGAAAGGTCACATATTAATATAATATAAAAATAAAGCATGATATTAGATGTATTGTGAAAACGTGCATTATCTAAAAGCTCATTTCCATCACTAGAACGGTCATGGATGATAAATTAAGGAAAAATAAAGCTTAAATATATCCACAATTTAAGAAATTACAACTCATTCAGCAAAAACAAATTCAATTAAAAATACAGGATTTTTATTTTTACATTTTTGATTCACAACTTAAATATATATTTAAATTTAGAGAGAAAAAATGTGTCCCTTTTGTTATTCAAATGTGGTTTGCAAGCTGATTCTGACTAAACCATGTCTGTGAAGATGGGACAAAACAAAAAGCAGAATTACAGGATGGTTTGGAGGACGACTGTGAAAATGAGAAAACAATACTGATCTACAGTAGGTAGCCAACCTGTTGTCTCTAAATAGCTTCTTTAAACTGGAATGGTAATGTTGTATTATAAAAATTTGAGATAAACATTGTTTTAAACAAGCACAACATATGACATATACTGTATGGGTGAGGTGTGCATTACCAATAGTTTACAGAGTCCAGCGTTTCTGCAGCAACTCGAGATACTATACTCGAGTATACAGGAAACGAACAAAAGAACCAGGCAAACAGATTATATTAAACCATACAAAACTATTTTCAAAAATGGTACAGTATAAACGTTTTTAAGCTTTTTTCCATTATTAAAAAATCTTTCTATGATGAATTCAATCCTGACACCAACTAAACACTTAAACATTAAACACTTAAGTCTATCACTTACACTGTTTTGCAATGCTTTTATTGTGACACAGCAATTCAAAACAATCTGTCACATTTAATTATTCTGTCCAACAGCAGCAACATAAAAATTCTGAAACCAGAATTTTATGAGATAAGAGTTCAATATTATATGTTTAAGCTTACTATCTTATAATAGTCTGAAATACCTTGCATTTCCTCCTTTAGAATATTTTAAGTTGTGATCTTAATTCTTTCTTCTAATTCCTTTGACAGTTATGTTAAACTTCAGGGCGTCCACATATTTCTGAATGATTGTGTTAAGCTGCAAAACATTTTAATAACATACATTAGTGAGTTTGTCATGAAGCTGTTTTAACTAAAATCAATGTATTTAACATAAAATGTGTGTTTACTGGAACTGAGAAAATATTTTGGTTTAATGTTAGACAGTGTTGTTGGTTTTGTAACATAACATTGCTACTGTATATAGCATTCTATATTTACATAACATTTTATGTATTTCCTTTTTGTGAACCTCTAAATAAATATAATAGTAAGCAAGTCACTATAAAAACAAAAGCTAGAAATTTCTGTGAAAAGTATTTTAAATAGAACTAATGAAGCTAGTTCAAGGCAATGTTGATGCATAACTTTGTCACTTGTACTGAAGATTTAAATGCTCTGCTTTCTATGGTTTGAAGTAATACTGTCATTTTAAATACAAAACTTCAGCTCAGTGCTATCTGTGTCCTAACAGGTATCAAATCTCATCACCAGATTTAACAGCTTTTAGCCCCTCTCTGCGAGTCATTAATGTAATTTAGGATTTTTGAAATTATATTACTTACAGTATCTATTGTAATATGTTGAATATCTCAAGGTTATGTTTTGAGATACTGTATTGTGGACACATTTGTTATTACTGCCTCTGTTCTTAAAAAGGGTTGCAGCACTAGTATTTGCACTTTTTACACAGAGGGTTGTGGGAGTGTGGATAAAAAACGGCCCAGTCTTTTTTTATTGGAACTCATACCCTTGCATTTGTCAGAAAATGGCTGGATGAGATCCTGAAATCAATCATACTGTACAAGAAACCCAATGATCTAGATGAGCTGAATGTGCTCCTTTTGTTTGTAACCTTTCTTATGTTCATAAACAGGACTGGATAACATCCCAGTAAGAAACAAAGAGGAAATCTGAATACTGTGAACCTACCTCCTGTAGGAAGATGTTTTGTTCACTATAATTAATTTGGGTGGAACTCTGGACTAACAGCTGTAGTCTTGCTGTAACTGGAAATCCTGTAAATATAAATAAGGGGTAAAACAAATTAAAAGATTTAATCATCCAAACAGTAAAGATGCGATGACAAATATAATAATGTAGCATACAGTATCTATCCCTCTCCAACTGCCCTGGGACAAGAAATTTGCTTGGAGCATCATTAATCCTCACCGTCATGAACACTTGGCTACCTCGACGTCTTTTGCCAGTTATGATTTTAGCATACTGTGAAGATAAACTGACTCCTCTGTGCCGGATGATGTTAAAAAGAAGAACGAGGCTGTGCAGCCCCACAAATAGTCCTGATCAATGATGATTCCCAAGTTACTGTCTGAGATTCAGGCAGGATACTTATCTACATTGGGAGTAGAACAAGATGGCTTTAAATCCTGCTTAGTTCCATTCATTTGCTGAGATTGTTCTTATGGAAAGAAGTACTATTGTACTATTGCTGGTGTGGTGTTCAGGTGGTCAAATGATTTCTGTCATTACAGCCGGTTTAATTAGCCTTCTTTCCTGCTTTCTTATGAATGACCAACAATTTTATTGTTTATTTGGTTGTACTTCAAAATCACAAAACAATGGTTCACATGCATGCTAATATTAACTTGCACTTTGGCAAAAAATGTGTAGTTGTATTTCTTTCTCCTTTATCGGAAAACATTTAAAAAAATTTAGAGGTTTCATTGGTTTTGTAATATGTACACAATATATAAAAAAAAAGAGTTATAAACACTACTTAATGCCACTTACTTGTTAATACTGTGACTGAAACAGGAGCCCCAACAGTAACACTGTCTGCAGCTACAGCAACAACTTGCAGGGAGTAATTGCTTCCAGGGCTCAGCCCAGTGATCTCAACTGATGAAGTGCTCACTGTAAGAGTCTGAGCAGTCGGTCCACTGACTTCAACTCTGTAGCTCCCTACATTTCCAGATGGAGCTGTCCAGCTCAGAAGCAGGGAACTTGTGGTGATGTTACTTGCAGTCAAATTGGTGATGGAACCAGGCACTGAATGAAAGAAAGGGGCAATATTTTTGGACAAAATTGTTCGTGTTACTGACTTTACAGAAGATATCATTCAGAATATTAGAAATTGTGTTCTTAACCTTTAACCTGCTTGACAACATGCAAGGTATTGATGTAAGACATGTCAAAGCTTAATAAAATCTGTGATATTCTTCTAAACTTTCATATGATAGACAATTACTGAAGAAAAATTAAGATGGAATATGAAAACAAGTTTCAATTGAAGATGCGATTAACTCAGATACCTCTCTGACCTATTTCAGTTTAGATTTAACAGATTAAATAATACAATGATGCCAAATAATTTGTTTGATTTAATACTTAAAATGTGATTCAGCTTAGGATCTGAATTAAAGTTCCTCATTTCCGACATACTGCACTCACCTGTAAATATTGTGATGGACACTGGAGCCCCAACATTAACATTGTTTGCAGCTACAACAATAACTTGCAGGGAGTAATTGCTTCCAGGGGTCAGCCCAGTGATCTGAACTGATGATGTGCTCACAGTCAGAGACTGAGCAGTTGGTCCACTGACTTCAACTCTATAGTAGCTCCCTGCATTTCCAGATGGAGCTGTCCAGCTCAGAAGCAGGGAACTTGTGGTGATGTTACTTGCAGTCAATTTGGTGATGGGACCAGGCACTAAATGAGAGAAGAAAGATATATTGACAGACGCAGGATTTGAGAACTTTTTGATGCTACACAAGAACCGTAAGGCATTTTCTAAGACAGTCAGATTTCACAAGCGTTGACATATTTAAAGAAAGCATTATTTAACGTGAATTTAGTTAATATGAAGAAATATCAATGATAAGAGCAAGGTGTAACGAACAGTTCTTTCCGGACGACACAGTCCGACGGAGTGGGGAAACACTGGGGAAACGTCATGCAGGAAAACGGGGCTGAAGACAGGGGGGCGTGTCCAAGGTGCGCTGGTGCACGGGGGAGGTGTGGCCGAGGCGAACAATCCCAAAGAGTAATCCTTAGAGTATCCAAAAACACATGAGTAAGTCCAAAACCAGGAGATCCATCAGAACAAAGAATTAAAAACCACGAAGGCCGTAACGGAACCGGCGGACGGGGAACGGGGAACAGGAACAGAATTTAAAACCTGAACGGGACCAGGCGCTTCCAGGTCCCGGACTCGCACGAAATGGAAATCAGATGCAGAGCCCGGATGAGCGTCAGCGCCTGGCTTTTAAGGTGGGCAGGGAATGGGAAACAGGTGCAGAGAATGAAGTCTTAAGTGAAAGGGCTGGAGCACCCTTAAGGAGGGGGAACTATAATCGTGACACAAAGATCGATATGATTTTCTTATTCATCTCTATCAAAGCACAATTACATGACATTAACATTTTAGAATTCCAGAAACTGA